GCTGGTGTCAAGGCGCTCGGACCCCTTGCTGACCCTCGGGCGCATCTGCCCGGCGTCCTGGGAGCGAGCGTCCTGGAGCCGGAAGGGGAGCTGGCGCGGCCCCGGCATTGGTACAGTGTTAATTACAGTAATAAGGGCAGCGTCTATTTGTGTGCCGCTCGCTGTGTCTCCGGACTCGCTCTACATTTGTGAATGTAACAGCCCCGTGAGCTAGACACGGCAATTACTCCTATTTTACAGGCGAGAAACAGCCGAGAGGTGTTCGTTGGCCCCCAGGCCACACAATAAGTGGCAGAGGCAGGATTAAAGTCACCGTCCGATTCAGAAGCTCCCTTAACCTCTGTGCTGTTCTGAAGGATGACAGTGGTGCAGACCGACCGCGGTTCTGGTCTTTGGTCGACCTCACTGTGTCTCCTTGGGCCTCAGTTTTCTTTTTTAAAAATGGGACTGGGGAGGGACCAGCAGTTAGCGTAATGGCTATGTCGCTGGACTCCCACGTAGTAGACTGTGGTTCGAGTCCCGGACCCGGTGGCTTGAACTCACGCCGGGTGCGTGTGCATGCGTGCCCAAGATCCCGAGAGGAGAGGGGACAAAAAGGGATTGCGGTGTGGCCATCCCCCCTGGGGGGTGATTTCTCGTTTTCTATCTCTCTGTCTCTGTCTGGCAGGTGAGCGCACGTGCCCTATAGCAAAAACCTCTTAAAAAAATAAAAATGGGACTGGGTAGTGGGAGGATTCTTGAGACTCAGCCTTTCCCCAGTCTGGACCTTCATGTGTTTGCTGCTCCTTCTCAGCCCCTGCATCCTCCTGGCATGCACACTCAGATGCACACAGGATGGCCCTGTGGCCTACCGTGTGCACCAGGGCAGATGCCCTACCCCAGGTCCTGCCAGGCATGTCCCTCTCCTTTGGTTCTGTGGCCCAGAGACTTGCCATCTCTTGTTGACCATCGTTTCTCCAGCACCCCCCACTGCTATGTTCTACTGTAGGCACTCAGTTTGTGAAATAAGGAGGAAAGTTTGTGTTGCAGGTCCAGTGCTAGGCCTTCGCCTTACGTGGGTACACAGACTTTGGCCCTCCTGCCCTCCAGAGTCTTAGAATCGGAGGGCAGGGTTTGAGCGCCACTCTGCTTCCTAGTGCAGGCTGTGTGTGCTCCGGAAGGTACATCTTGAAGCTGCTTTCGCAGGACTCTTCCTTCCACACCTTAGCCTGCCCCTTTATTTTACTGCTATGCTGCAGGTCCACCTCGGGATCCAGTCGGCATTCACTTGATTAGATGGGCCTGGCCCTGTGCTCTGCGAGCTCCCAGAGGGCTGGGCCTCTGTGTAGGGGTCCCGGTTGTAGTCAACTCTGGAGAAACGCTCTGAATTGTGGCATTGAGATTGTAGCCGGGAAGTGCAAACAGTGCGGGCTGAGCTGGCTTGCTGGCGACTGTGGCTGCTGGGTCCTGCAGAGCATGTGGTCCGCTTCCCTCTGTGTGAGGGAGCCCAGGGGACTCATGCTACATGGAAGATGAGCTTTACTAGCTCCAGCACCAGTTCCTTAGGGGCTCTTTTAAAGAGTGGGTTAGCTTGGGGCCTGGCAGGTGATGTGGTGGTTAAGGTGTTGGACTCCAACATGACTGACTGTGGTTTGATTCCTAGACCTGGCAGCTTTCTTACTTTCTCTCTCTCTCTCTCAGTCAAATACAATGAAACACAATTAAATAAATAATTGTTAAAAAAAAAAAAAAAAAGTGGGACCAGCAGATGACATAACAGTTACATTGCTGAACGCCCATGTAGTCAACCACAGTTCGAGTCCCAGACCTGGCGATTTCAAACTCACACCAGGAGTGTGTGCGTGCATACCTAAAATCCTGAGAGGAGAATGGAGAAGGGATCGCAGCATGGCCATCTCCCCTGGAGGGTGATTTCCCATTTTCTGTCTACTGTCTCTCTCTCTCTCTCTCCAGCGAGTGTACACGCCCTAGAGCAAAAAGCTCTCTCTAAAAACAAAACGAGGTGCAAGGACGGCGGGCCCACCTCATTCCACTGGCACAAAGTACTTCTCCAGTCAGGGTGGACCTGTGTCAGAGGAACTGGGGCTGGGCAGGCAGCTGAGAACAGAGACGCGTGTGTCAGGCAGTGGCGAGGAAGGGCATTTTAGGAAGACCCCTGGTCGCATACGTGTGCATGGGTGTTTGTAGAGCCCTTCTCAGGGGCAGTACAGTTGGAACTGCAAGTCTGCCCTGAGAGGTGGTGGAGTGTCCTCACGGTCAGTGGGGGCCTGTAAGACGGTCTGGAGACGGGCTGATACCAGGGAGCGCTGGGCTGGATGGCAGAGTGCCTGGCGGAATGCCATCCTGAGGATTTCACCTTCCCTTCCCTCTTGAAGAAAAGAGCTTTTGAAGAAAGCCTGAGGGGGACCAGCAGTTGGTGTAATGGCTGTGTCGCTGGACTCCCACGTAGTCGACCACGGTTCCCGTCCCGGACCCAGGGACTTAAACTCATGCCGGACGAATGTGTGTGTGTGCCCAGGATCCCGCGAGGAGAATGGAGGAGAAGGGATTGCGGCGTGGCCATCTCCCCTGGGGGGTGATTTCTCGCTTTCTGTCTCTATGTCTCTGTCTGTCTGGCGAGCGCACGTGCCCTAGAGCAAAAACCTCTCCAAGAAAAGGAAAGCCAGCCTGAAGGGGCCGGCAGTTAGCGTGGTGGTCCACACTGCAGACCGAGCAGCTTGAAACTCACACTGGTGCGTGCGTGTGCCTGGAATCCCAGGCGGAGAATGGAGGAGAAGGGATTGCGGCATGGCCATCCCCCTGGGGAGGTGATTTCTCATTTTCTGTCTCTGTCTGTCTCTCTAGCGAGCACATGTCCCCTATAGCAAAACCTCTCGAAAGAGAAAATAACTACAGAGGCCAGCCAGTGCTGTGGTGGTTGAGGCAGCGGGTCCCACCTGGCTGACTGTGGGGTTCCAGTCTCGGAACTGGTGGCTTGAAAAACACACCAGTGTCCAAATTACCAGGAGAATGGAGAAGGGATGGTGCCCCCCACCCCCATCGCCTCTCCCTGGTGAACTTCTGTGCCCTGTAGCAAATTGACAAGAATAGTACTAGTGATGGTAAGTGTGTAGCCGCTACACGAACGCGTCCTTCGGCCGTCACCCATTGCCATTGCTAGCGGGCCAGCTGCTGCTCCAGCGCACAGCCAGACCTCCGAAGCTACCAGCAGCCCCTCTGAGGCTGTGTTCAAGCTCTGCGGTGACTGCGTAGAGAACCTTCGGTGAAGACCTGGCGGGAGAGGTGGGTCATCCAGGAGGTTAGGGGTGGCAGGAGGCGCTGGGCGTTTAAGCTTGCAGAGAAAGGACCGCTGTCCCGCCCTGGGCCATCTCCCCGTGGGCATTATTCTCCCTTTCTGAGCTTCCTTTCTGCCTCTGAGAAATTGGGTGCTTTCAGCACAGAAACACTCGGCCTTTTCATACCATAATTTGATATTCAAGCAATGGCCTGTGTTTGGAGCCATGCTTTGTCCACTCTGGCCCAGGAGTTTGAGATGGCTGCGTGGGGACTTTTAGGAACTGTTTTTAGGCACATGGACGCATCGGTACGGGAGGAGCTACTGCTTACGTATGTGCATGAGGTGTCTGGTCCCGCAGGCCCTTCATGGGTCAAATACAACTGGCTCCACTGTAGATGCTTTTCACAGCAAGTAGGAATTTTGGAAACCTTACAAAATCAAGTCTCAGTGAGCCTCTTTATGTATATATAATTATATAGATATGTATAGATATAATTTTATTGATTATTATTTATTACTACTGCTTTTTTAAAATTTGACTAGCGAGAGACAGAGACAGAGAGGGAAAGGGAAAAAAAAAGCCACTAGGTTTGGGACTTGAACCACGGTTGGCCATGTGGGAAGTCCAGTGCCTTAACCATCATACCACCTGCCAGCCCCTTCTTTTTTGAGAAATTTTTACTATAGGGCACTTGTGCTCTCTAGAGAGACAGAGACAGAAAGTGAGAAACCACCCCATGCCACAATCTCTCCTCTGTCCTCTCTGGATTTTGGGTACACGTGCACATGGGCCCAGCATGAGCTTCACGCTGCTGGGTCTGCCACTTGAACTGTAGTTGACCATGATGGAGTCCAGCACCCCAACCACTATGCTACCTGCTGACCCCACAGTTGGACCTCCAGAAACTGCCTTCTCTCTGTCCTTTCTGCCCATATATATGTTTTTTGTTTTGTTTTGTTTTGTTTTGTTTTTTGAGCAGAGAGCACTCACCAGAGAGAGGAAAGAATAAAACATGGTCTGATCATGTTTTATTCTTTATCCCATCTTGTTGGGATTTTGGACACACATAGACACACATCCAGTGTTTCCCCAGCTGCTGAACTGGAGATTCAGAGCACACAGTAGGCCGTGTGGGATCCAGCTCCAGGCACAGGCCAGCCCGTCTTCCCATATTTTCTGCTAAATTTCTCATGAGCGGCTGATTTTGGGTCTATGGAAGAGTTAAGTCTCTGAATTCCCCGTCGTCGTGTGTATCTAGATACGGCTCAGCAGGGTGTGAGACACCCCCTTCTCAGCTTCTCGCCGGGCTCACGCTCCCGGTGCTCACGTGCCACTTTCTGCTTGTGCCAGCAGGCCTGGCATTTGGGGGCGTGGGAGAAAGTATGCGCCAGTGTGTGCTGGGGTGGAGGGGTGGGTGGCTTGTGTGAATAGAAAAGACATGACCTTTCTGAAAATTGTGCAGCAGCGTGGAGGAGGAAGCCTTGG